GCCCAGAGTAGCTCAGCAGAGATGGGGGGTGGCGCCGAAGATGCCAACAACGGCGGCGGTAGCGACGAAGAAAGCGATGACAGCAGCGATGAAGACAGCGACTGACGACCTGTGTTTCAGTGTTTCAGTTAATTTATCATGTAGATGTCTTACGTCGTAGGTGGGTCAGAACCTGTCGAGATTTACAGTTTTTTTCCCGCACGTAGGGCGGGCGTGCGGTGTGCGGTGGTGGTGCGGTTCGTAACTTCGTAACTTCGAAGTCCATCGTATCGTATTTCATTATTTGTTCGAATTCTGAGGGTTCGGAGTATTGCATGTTTAGTGTTGTAGTGTTGTCATGTCAAGCATCATGGCAGTAGAGTGTAGAGTCAAGCATCATGGCAGTAGAAAAATATGAAAAGGACACATTATTTCGCCTATCGCCGACAGGTGATCTCCGCAGCAGTCGACCAGCCTCGCGACCAGCTCGTTTGTGTTACTAGAAGTACATGCATACGTCGCGAAAGTCGCTCAGATGAAGTAAATCGCGAAAGATACCAGCCGAAAAAAATCGCCGAAAGTGAAACACGATTCACCGAGAAGCGATATGCAGTCGCCGAACGTCGCCGAAAACAAAAGCCGATCACCAATTTTTTTCGCCGAAAAAAAAAAAGGCAAACGCCGGGAAAAAAAGAAAAAGGTCGCCTATCGAGCAAAAGCCTATGCGGGTCCCAACTTAACCCTTCAATCCACCGTGGCAATGCATGCCCGTTCTACACTTGTTCACACAGTTTCGTACAAAACATCGCGGATTTCAAGCATCACGAAGCTGGTCTAGCGATTCTTCCCGATTACTCGCGACAGAGGTGAGGAAGAGTATGATTGCAATTGTTAGCAGACGGCCGGCCGCTTCCAAGGGGCTTGCTTGCTCTTGTCGCCTCGGTGGAGATAATTGTACCAGCGTTCTGGCGTAGTGTGGTATACCGGAGATGCGTTTCGCGTAGGTGACCAGAGATCTTATTCACGTTCTGCAATGTCGGTATGTTTCTTATTTTTTGCTGCACACAGGACGCACGACGAGTTGAGGGGCAATCCTTGGATCGCTGCCTGTGCCCCTCTATTGCTTTTCTGTTCCGTCGAACGCATGTGAGTAGAATGGAACGCCTTTCTTCCGCACGGTCTGCATTATATACAGATAGAAAACAACACGAGCTGTAGTTGCACGCTTCTCTCCTTGTCACCCGCCGAAGTGTTAATCAGCCCCCCCCCAAGAAGAGAAATATGCGATGCTGTCCCGCTTGCGTACGTAGGACACCGCGAGAACGTGCCGCATTTGTGTTTCAGAAGCTCGTTCTGATATACAAGGACATCTGAACGCCACGATCCTGTGTTGGCCATAACTATTGTATTCCGCAGTTCTGGATGCTTTTTTTCGTTAATCTTGTCAGCTTCATCTGTCACTAGTCATCCATATGTAACTGAACTGTTTTGCAGGATCTCGCTGTTATTCCTATTACAGTATCAAACTCTTGAAGTATGTCTCTATCGTGCAGTTGCTTGGGTACAATGGCATGGGCATGAGTTGGCGCCTGTCTCGTATCGCAGGTTGATGAATGCTGACCTTGAGGATCAACTGGATGACAAATTGCTTGATATAGAGTGTGACCTGAAAATGGTCGCCGAGGGTTTCATCGGCGAACATGAGGAGCAGCAGCGACATATGGACGTGATGACAGGTGATTAGATATTGCGATTTTTCTGGACGGTATCACCAGCTCATCAGCTGTGGCACATGAAGCCACATATATCTCTCTTTCGCTTTCTTTTAGATTAGTGCGAACTCACAGTGGTCTCCACGGAGGTTGAATAACAATGAGTATGACTGATTGGTTGAAAATCATGCAAATTGTCTTCCTGAAGGTGCCACCAGATGCATCCGCACCAGATGCATCCGCAATGGTGTAAAACCCTACATAAGTGCTCGGGTTTCAGTTGGAAGGACTTGCTTACGTGCCTGTCACACTACTTGATACTGGACATCCCAGAATTGGATTTTTCGGCCTTCAATTTCGCACGCTCCACCACCCAGCCAATCCAACGTCCTACGGGCACATTGCGATAAGTGCTCGCTCGCTCGAGCAACCGCAAAAATTGTCCCGGGGGAACACTCCTTCCCCATCATGTACAATGGACTATAACTTGCCAATTTAAGAGTTTGCTGCGTGGTCATGTACCTGCATGTAACGCAACGGCAATGCGCTCCCCTGTTTGCTTGTAAACAGATGCACGTCAGCATTCATCTTGCCACTGCCATCGCTCAGAGGGCGTCGGCATGCCTTCCTTGGACGTGTTGCTAGAGTTTCTGAGACAAATGGGTGTTGTCGTGAAAGTCCGGCGACACCTGCTGCATGCATGGAGGCGTGTGATGCTGTTCGGTGATGTTGAGTTTGTAAGGTACGGGATGAATGGCCGAAGGCGGCGGCGGCAATCATGTCGTACTTCATACCTTGCCGAGCTAGTCGTGACTCGCTTGCCTGGGGTATCACACTTGCCTGTGCGTCCTGGTGTCTTGGAAAATTGTTCATGTGCGCTGGCAGTTTAGTTTCCTTTTGCACACGTGAACGTGATGTCTAATCTAATACTTAACACTTGAAACAAAACATGCGATATCAAACGTGTATGGTAACGTTCGTGGCGTTTCCCTGCAGCTTATGCCAACGAATCGAAGCAGCACGCCGCAGCAAGGACACGCTCGACCATCAATTGATTCTTCCTTTGGCAAGAATGTTCGAGAATGAGCTTCGCGTCGTGAGCTTTGCCGTGAGAGCGATCCACCTGCAGGAAACAAGCTTTGTTCAGCGCCAAGATTTCGTGTTGTGCCAGATGGAGCTTCGCGATGCAATTACCACGTGGGAGGGAGGGCATCTCGGGCAGGTATTATCCCATGAGAATTCAACTGGTGTAGTTCGGTAGCAACCGGCTGAAAATTCCCAACAATTGTGCATATTGGCCTTCCTCGTGGTCTTATCTTTATTTTCGAAGCCTTTCTGGTCAAGTCCTCACGAACTACAAGCTTACCTTGATGTGATCTGTTGACGTGGAAGAAAGAATGGTGGGCCCTTCTCTCGTTACAATCGAAGTGAAGGGATACGGCGTGGAGGACCGTCTCCTCTTGTGTTGTAGCTCCGCAGCATGTGCATAGTAACCGGGCAAGACCACAGCAGGGTAACACGGGGGTGTTTGTTGGATAGCAGGTCGAAGTTTCCTAACATTACCCTTGGGTGCCCTACTCATGCCGGGGATAGCCTTCAAGGTGGAGAGAGCAATCTAGGACTTTAGCTTCGCGCGCCCCGTCAGTCACGACGTCCGCTCGCTTCGTACTTATGGAGAACCAAACCACCCAGCACGATAGGCCATGCTCTGTCTCGGTGTCTGCCCAGAGCTGTACAAGCGACATCTGCTTCGGGTCACACCACTCTCCTGCAAGAGGGTGTGTTCGACCTTAGCGATTGCCGCCAAGAGTTTTACGTTCGGGAGTCTTGTTCGTGTGGTTGTTTCGTTGATGTGTTTGTGGCAGACATGATTTAGAGCGACGCAAGTGCTGATCCACAACGTGTCAACTTGAGAAGCTGCAATTTGACCGTTGTAGTTTTCTGTTGGCTTGCTGATTCAGTGAGGTTGCCAACAGCACGCTCTTCGATTTCACCCGATTCGTTGGTTTACGATTTTCCGCTGACGAATATTTTGCGGCAAAAATTTGTTCCCTTGTTGAAGAGGAAGAGTTAAGTGGGGGTGTACCGACCTTTCGAGATAATAATAGAGCCCGTACGAAAACACGCCAGTGGGACCCCCCCCACCCCATACCCCTATGCGCGGCCCTAACTGCTGGGAATCCAACAACCTACGCTCCATGCCCAGCACGGACATGGATATTGTCCAGACTTTGGGGACGTCTCTTTTCATAACAGCAAGTCGGCGCACCAAGGTCTTACTAATTTCGCCAACGGGGCAGCACCCCCCCTCCAAGTCTTTCATTTCCGAGATGACCCACCGGTTTCCCCGTTTGGTCCATGCACGGGTGGTGATTCCGCTGACGTGCTTTCATGTGGCTCGCATTCATCTGGAAAGGGCAGCTAGCTGTATTCCCCCTCTTGTCTTATTCCTTTCAGCAATATGCTCTACGCTAGGACCCTCGCCAACGTCGTTCGCATGCCCAGCCATGCGATATTCCTCCTGTCTGTTGCAGGTCCTCTGCAGAAGAGTAAAGGCGATCCTGATGGCGAGGAATGGTGGACACGAAGGACCACTTGCGCTTCAAAGGGGTTCTACCAAAGTAAGTCCTACAGTAGTTGGGCTAGAAAATTATTCTAGAGCAATAAATTATTCTAGAGCAGTACGCAAAGAGTACACGCATATGCGCACGAACTGAGCGAAGGGGTTCATCACCACGGGTAATCAACACACGAAGGGGTTGTATCCCGTGTCTTGCGAAAACTGATCCTCGTGTGCAGAGTTTCAACGAGCCGAGGTTGTGCCGCAACGATGGATGTGTTTGTCGCTGTGTTTTGTCAGCCTCGCGGATACTCTTGTCTGCATCTCACAAGAGGTGTCGCGTGTGTATGTCGGAGGTTGTGGCGACTGCAAGCGGCGCCAACGGTGACAAGCGACGAACGAAGGACTCGTCTTTTGTGTGTGTGATATCATGCCAATTTTTCCGATCCGATAGGCTCCGTTTCCCGCACTCGCTTGGCCGTCACAGCCAACCGCACCGCCACACAACAGGACAACCTGCATCTACATCATTTGGAGAATTTTGGGTGTGGGTGGTGCTCTACAGCGTAGTGTGACTCTATTCTTTCATCGGTCCCTTTTTCTCTGCCTCTCTCTTGGGCTCCGGGCATTTTCGGGTAGGGCGGACAATGGGCAGCGCACACAGCTTACGGGGAGGGGGGCGCGGCAGAGGTTCAACCGGACTAAAGTGGCAGACCTCATGCCCAAACTTATGCTTCCCAACCGTCACGATTGTTGTTGATGAGTTAATGCAAAGCTTATGGGGTAACCCTAGAAAGTGTAGAAAGCGTTTCAGGATGTTATCCTAGTGTGGAATTCCTGCCTAATGCAGATAGATACGTAGGGGTTGGTTGCATGGACCGGAATTTTTTTGGCGGTCAGGGGGTCCGAACCCGAGCGCTGGCACGGTGGCAAGGTAGGCTCTCTGCGCTGTTCTGTTGCCTCTCTTCCGGTGGTGTGGTAGGGTGATGTGCACGTCTTGTGTGAGTGCATTACAGAGAATTTTGGCCCGGAGGACTAGAGCCAGCTGGTTGAGGGTGTGCGGTGTCGTCCGCAGTATATTGTGCAGGCAAGTAGGGCCAAGCATTACACGGCACTGTTCGAGACCGCCCTACTGAGGGAATTGTAGGCTGAGCACACGAGACGCGCAAAACGTGCTCATATTCTTGTGCCATGCGATGTAAATACCGGGGGGTTGGCTTTGTTGACGGAGGTTTCTCTTGCACAACAAACATGCCTTGATGTTACAGTCAAAACAGCCATGCTAACTTTCGTGAAAATGACCCCTAGCAATGGATTATAAAATGCGTTCAAAGTATCGGGATTTATTCTCACTTTGTTAACCTTTTCCGGCACAATCGCGCTCCCACAGCAGTTCGTGGCTGTCACTTTACACTTGTCTCTCAGAAGATACTGAAACCGTTCATTATCTATTTACTCCTAGATTTCCCACGTGTGCCTTTAAGCTGAGCTTGTAGACATTCATCACGAATTCCCTTGTAACACCAGTTGCTCTTGACTCTCATGTGGCAACTCGTTGACAACGAAGGTACATCAGATTCATTCAGGCATCAACTACAAACTCAAGTGCACCTGTGTACACAAACTAGTATAGCGGCCTGTTTGCACTATTTATACCAAAGTTTCGTTCGGACGCGATTTTTCTCTTGGCCCTGCTGCCATCTGACATGTATTTTTCATCTTTTCGGTTATTAATTGTATATATGAACTCGCAGCACGCCCCCCCGCCTTGCGGCTGTTTGACCTTGCCTGAAAGGATCGGCTTTAAACTTACAAGCTCATTTTGGTTGCGAGAGCATACATATGGGTGTGCCCTTGTGCATGTCGATTTTGTTGTGCTGGCTACTGCATGCGTGTCCGCATGTTTTGTCGCCGTTTGGTACTAGGGGTACCTTCTCGGTTGTTGATGCGGCTGTTGAGCGAGCACCATCAGTGTTCATGTTCAGCAGCAGCTGAGGCAGTTGACAAATTGTGAGCTGTCTTTGCATTTGTTGGTGTGTTTCAAAGCGATTGCCTGGGGAGCAGACTGCAAGCTATGTGGTTCGTCGTGGCCCCGTGCATGCTAAGATGTTGGAAAGGTACTCCTTTCCGTGGTCGTTCGTTTCCATCCAAACCCGTGTAGCTCACTTAGCACGCTGAATATTTTGTTGGTATTTAGTTGTCTCTTGAGTTGGCAATGCCAGCATCACCTAGGCCGTGTGCCTAACATTTGATCTATACTCGGAATATTGTTTCCCTACCGTTGGTAGCCAGTCCCTTTTCGTTTCAGCGGACCTGCATTTTTGGCACTTGATTCGACATGTTTTCGTTTCGCTATTAATCTGCAACTTCCCGCAACTCTGTGCCTCACGTTGGATGTGTCGCAGGGATTGTCGTTCAAGTCTCCTTTGTTTTTATCCTACTCTGATGGAACAGTTTCTCAAGAGGCGGTTGTGAACGGCATCAATGGTTTGGAAGGAACTACGACCAATTTCGCGTTTAGTATCGGTTGATCGGCTTGTTTAAACCACTTCTTGCTGTTTTGAGAGCTTGCAAGCGCGATCACATGTGCTTGAGTGAGTGGACGCTTCGTTCTGAACAGCCCCTCAAAGAGTGTGAACGATTTAACGCGAAGTCCTGGAAGAGAAGACGAGGGCAGTAAGCCGGCCGCGCGTTCTTTTATCATGTTGTTAATCGGCCGTGCAACCCAGAGGTTAAGACGTGGTCGTATTGAGACCAGAAACGAGGATAGAGCCTGTGCTCGGATCTGTGGCAAGAGGGGCGGACAATGTACACGAGAGAAAGAGTGCGAGAGATGTAGAAAACGCCTGAAATCAGTTAGGGCCTGGGACCAGTCACTCGCTCCGTTGCCTACAGGGCGACGGCCTAAGATTGCAACTTGACTGCTGTGGTTTGCGTTCTTGACACTGTTCAGCTGACCGAATTACAGCCTAAGAGTGCAATTCTAAGAGTTCCATTCCGACTAGAGTTGGTTTCTGCTGCGGACAAAAAACACGAAAGAAATCTTGTCCGTGATTTTTGACCGAGCTCAATTTTTTTCAGCTCGCGAAAGCTACGCGTACGAGATCGCGGCGCTGCCTTCGCGCGACCTAGGCCTGGACTTGTGTCGAACGGATTTAATCGAAGCGATACCGTTGCCAAACGAAAAGCCTTGTCTCTTGCTCAGTCCACATAGCATCCCTTTGGCGTTATTTTTTAGTCCCTGCACTTACTGGTCTTCGCCACGACTGAATTCTCTGACCTCAACACACGCCAGTCCTCGCCAACGCACGGAGCGTTTCACCTCGCATCGCAGGCAAAGCATCCAAAAAGTACAACCGCCTCGCAGGCGCGCCCTCACAGGCTCCGCGCGCCTGAGGTCGAAACCCTTGCATTGTTCCCACGTGATCCATGACCAAGCAAGATAAAGCCCCAGCTAGACGCAGCTCGATACGATGAGACAGAATAAGGATGCCTCGCGAGTCTCGGCAACGCTGGTGGCAACAGGGTGAGCACGCCTACAAGTATCGACTCGGTCGAATCCGACTGCAGTTCCGCACGGCAGATGAAACAATTTTTTATTCGCATGGACATCCCCAGCCTGCTAACCGACCTGTACCAGACTTTTGAGAGTCAACGATGACCCACTAGGCACTACTGTGTGCCAAAAGTTTCAAAGCCATTCGATCTAGACGCCGCGTTCGAGAGCAAGTTTCGCTGCAGATCGGCCGACCTCACCTGCCAGCAAAGATCAGCAATTTCTCACACATACTGACTCCCTCGACACAAAACTTGCATCGATATGGATCTAGAACTTCGGTACGCTCTTCCCGATGCGCATGCCTTTGGTGCATGTCCCACATCGGATCGCGACATCACGACTCACAAGCAAGGTTTGCCCTAGGGGGAGACGCAAACTGCAACTCATGACTCATGAAGTCGCATGTATCCCGTCACGCGCCCCCTCCAGCCGCTGCCCAACGCTGCCCAAGAGGCTAGTGGAAAAAGCAGGGCTTGATGCATTGCCACCCCCCTCCTCATTTCGGTCCCCTCCCGGCGTTTGCCATCGGGATTGGGTTGTAATCGCTTGGCAACGACGTTGTAAAACAAGCCAATTCACTTCGTGAGCTCGGCAACCAGGTTGCCGTTTTTTTTTTTACCTCCGTTTTTTTTTTTGGCGGTAACCATAATGGTGGTCGAGTAGATCATGTTGTGCGGGGTGGAGAACTCTCACTCCGCGCAAGGGGGATGATCGCACCACGTTGTGTTAAAATGGTCAAGCACCCTCGAGGCAGTTACACAGTGCTTACAACTGTCTCAGGAAGTGAAAGCACCAGAAAATATATCAAGTCATACACAGCTGGCATCCGTACGCAAGGAAGTAAGCACAAGATGCTTAACACCCTTAGCAGGATGCAGCGCACCCTTCATGCGACTCGCCGAATATCTCACGGCGCTTCGCGCTTGGTGATGTGAGAGCCTGGTCCGGTGAGAACCCGGCGTGCTCCGTCCCGGCTTTGTAGGGATGCGAGGTCAATGGTCAAACGACTACGGCATGCACGACTATGAGTACACCCCCCTGTTGTTGCTGTTGTTGTTGTTGTCTTCACATTCAAAACCATCCCGGTCTCTCTATCCAGTACCTCCTTCTGTCTCTATCTCTCTGTACTAATCCAGCACTTCACTCGGTAAATTTCCGTGGTTACAGGCTAACGTACCTAGAAAAGGTATACCAAAATAAAATGGACCCTAGCATAGGAAGATAAATAGTTGAATCTACCTAACGCCAGTAAACATCACGCCACACACACCGTGCGAAACCAACCCAAACTTCGCTATTTACCTTTGTCGTGGCGTGAGGTCTGACCGTCGATCCCGACTTGCCCATTTCTGACATCAGAGTGTCTACCATCAGAGAGTCAAACGTGCGAAGGGGCCGGTCAAGTCGAACCAAAAGCGTGGTGTCCGTCCCCCCCTCCTCGTTTCGGGCTGTTGAGCCGGTTTGGTCAAGGCGTATAATTTATTTTACTTAGGGTATAGTATCGTTATAGTGAATTCTAAACATTAAATATTGTTAAGGCTATATAGTGTCTCACAATAAAACCTATATAATGGTTTTATTTTTCAGGGCGATCCAAATGGGTGCTTTTCGTTTAGAAAGAAAAAGCTGTTCAGAGGGATTGCAAGAACATGTGGTACGCGCTCATTCATTGTTAAATTATCTTAGACTATTTTCTACTGTAGGTAAAGACAAATTCGTTGTGTCATATTAAGGAAAAATATATAAGTGGCAAGGGGGCGTGAAAAATTGACCATGAACGTCCTAGAGGGTCTGTGACTTGCTCGTCAACAACATGGCAACCCGCCAGAACTGGAGTTATTTCATAATCTAGGCTCCAGATTGCGATTTAAGACTTTGTGCCAACAAGTAGCATTTTGTCCGAGCTGTCCCAAGTGCTACTTTTTTTTTATTTTTCCAAATACAACACAACGAGTCCATTTCCGTCAGAGAAAAGAGTCAAAGACAGATTAGCAATGGAATCATAGCGTCAAAGAAAACTACCTGTTGTGTGTCCACGATTTCCCAGACAGCATATATGGACATCTCCCCTGCGGATAACAGGCTCAACAAGACAGTTTGGTAGCTGTGTTGTGTGTCTTATATATGTTATGTTGGGAAGGTGTAGACGAAAAGTGTTGGGCTGTTAGTTAGTTGGGTGTTTTATGTGTGGCACCCTGTTGGTTGTGGATCTCCATCCATTTTACACGTGTATTTCCAGTTTGGTATGCATTTAACGCGAGGAATATGATTTGGTAAGTAATTGAGTTTGGTATGCATATGCATGCATCTGTGTCAAATTGTGCGGCACACGGGAGTGGTCTCCCAGTTTTGTGTAATTTCATGCCCATAAATGTGCGAAGGGCACGGGAGAACATTCTTTCATCATTGCCTCCTGACGTGGTCGGTCGTAGGTAAGGCGTGTGGTTGAGGTTCCATCACCGATATGTGGGTGTTCGTGTGTTCAAATGTAATGGGTTGGTCATCTCTCTCGTCCGTGTGTAGGCAGGGAGTATGGTTATATCTCTCCCCTCAGTGGGCAGCACAGACCATATGTAAAGAAGAGTTGATCATTTCGTGCATAATACATCATTTATGTTTGGCACGACAGGAGGAATGAGATTTAGTTGTTCTGACATTTTGACGGTGTACGTGGGTACGGAAAGTACTCCCTGTGTCCGTGATGTTCCCTGATGTTGTCGCATCGAGTGGCAGCATGTGCCAAGGACAGGTAGACGTGGAAGGACGGCGACAGGTGAAGGGCAGCAGTAGTAGTGTGTTGTGCATGGTGGCTTGTTGGCTTGTACAGAGACCAGTACATCTTCGACCGACCACACATAAAGAGTTTGTTCGTACCTGTGGGGATTTTTTGGAGTCCTGGGTCAGCCGAGAGCAGCAGCAAGGAGCAGATACGATGCAGTGTACTCTACAGCTTTACAGTCCGTCCTCCTCAAGTCCTAGCGGAGATGATTAGTATCGCACAACGGCTGGATCCGAAATGCCGGCTAGCTCCGAAAACCAAGAGAGGTGGGTGGCTGAGCTAAAACCGGAATGACTGCATGCATGCGTGCTCCTCTCAGCAGATGTTGCTGGCTGGCTCTTTGAAGTGCAGATTTCTGGTTCAGCAGAATTTGATTCCCAATTTTTCCGTTGTCACCTGGGTACAGGGGAATTTTTGAGAGGTGTACGGAAGTTGATGAATTGTCCTACTTGCAAGGGACACGTTTGATTTTCAGTGTTCCCTTTGTGTACTTTTTCAATCCGTGGTCAGTGCCTGAAGATAGATAGCATCGTAGTGTGCCAAACTTGAAGCAAGGAGGAAGTGTCCGGCCCTTCGCAACGAGAGGAGGCGTCATTGTTGTTTGGAACCAGACGTACGTATAGGATCAAGCAAGACATCACACAAAGCCAGACGTGGACAAGGGGGGAGGGAGGGAGACACACAACACAGCGAGAGCGAGACTGGAGCTGTGCATTCCCTGCTAGTTTGTCTGGTCACCCATCACGTACGTGCTGTTTAGATACCTCAAAGCAAAACGAACGAGTTTAGAGCAGCAGCTGAAGGCGACCGTCTTTTTTTCATCGAGCTGAAGATCATCCCCCTGTGAAATTGTCAAGCACCCTCGAGGCAGTTACACAGTGCTTACAACTGTCTCAGGAAGTGAAAGCACCAGAAAATAAATTAATTCATACGCAGCTGTCATCCGTACGCAAGGAAGTAAGCACAAGATGCCGAACACCCTTAGCAGGATGCAGCGCACCCTTCATGCGACTCGCCGAATATCTCACGGCGCTTCGCGCTTGGTGATGTGAGAGCCTGGTCCGGTGGGAACCCGGCGTGCTCCGTCCCGGCTCTGTAGGGATGCGAGGTCAATGGTCTAACGACTACGGCATGCACGACTATGAGTACAACCCCCCCCAGAAAATGCGCTGCAGCACCTGTAGATCCTGGATCATCAACAGCGGTCTGATGCAGCCGGACACTGCGTGTAGGTGTGTGATAAGATCCATCCCATCTGCTAGCGGTTCGTCTGTTGCCGGTCTAAAGCCATGACGCGAACTGACGTGCCAGTTCAGTTCTGCACTGGTGTCACTGGTTCATCAGCGTCCGTGCGGGCGACCCATGCACGCGTTTTGTGGTCGGGGCATCGGAGAGCAAAGCATTATTATTGCCAACGTTCGTTGTTTGCCTTGGGTGAAGTCTCGTGAGGTTTAATTTGGCGTTTGTGTTGTGTTGTGCCTCGTTTTGACCTTTTGGGAGGCGCGGTGTCCACTTTGTCGCTGTGGTTTCCCGACATTTTTGGTCTCTGTGTTCTGCGTAACCTACATTTTCCTAGTGTCTTTTTTCAACCTTCGATATTTTTCAGGTGCGGTAGCGAGATCTTGGGCAAGATATTCACGGGAAGGACAACGCCTAAAAAATAAAACAAATATAATAATTAAGCCCATATCAACACCAGCGCACTACCGTCGTGTACATGTACGATGCGTAGGTCGTAGAACACCGTCGCTTTCAGCGTTTTGGTGGTACAGCAGTACGGGGAAATTCAAACGATGGTATGAAAGTATGCNCTTCGATATTTTTCAGGTGCGGTAGCGAGATCTTGGGCAAGATATTCACGGGAAGGACAACGCCTAAAAAATAAAACAAATATAATAATTAAGCCCATATCAACACCAGCGCACTACCGTCGTGTACATGTACGATGCGTAGGTCGTAGAACACCGTCGCTTTCAGCGTTTTGGTGGTACAGCAGTACGGGGAAATTCAAACGATGGTATGAAAGTATGCATTGCAGCACAAAAGCAGCAGTGGTTGCGACCTTCAAATCACCTTGTGTCGTAGGTGTCAAACAACACCCTATGTGGTCGCCTTTCTGCTGCGAATGCGCACCTTTTGACATATGTTTCGCCTTCATTGGCCCCGGGGATGGTGCGTTAGTGGCCCCGGAATTTTAGACACTTACTCGCGTTGAAGACACTTTTTTTGTGGGAAAACAAACGTGGTGTGTCTTGAAAGCGGGGTCGACTGTACCTACAAAGCGGGGCATTAATTAGATTGAAATAAGAATCATGCCCGTCATACATTGGACTTCACGTGAGTAGAACAAGATCGTGGTTGCCTTTCTGCTGCGAATGCGCACCTTTTGACATATGTTCGACCTTCATCGGCCCCGGGGATGATGCGTTAGTAGCCCCGGAATTTTAAGGACACTTCCCTAC